CTGCTCTAGCACACATACTAAGATTCAATATGGTAATTGAAAAGTAAGAGAAATCTGTACTGTACTTTAACCTTCCGGCACCTCTGGTGTATCAACACAAAGTGCACGTATAATCGTATTTAATTCATTGTCCATTGAACAAAGTGCTCATTGATCTGGTACCAATTTGTAAAGAAAGACAGAGATCATAAACCTTGAATACTCTCGTGTTGTAATATCAACAGCCTTGTACTGTACAGGCCAAAAGCTGCCCTACTAACTGAAGCACTTGTTAGCAGTGATAAAAATAACAACAAAATTTATGTACACTTCATGTTTGCATGAGGTAAAGAACATTCAATTCAATTTTATTTGTATAGCGCTTTTAACAATGGACATTGTCTCAAAGCAGCTTTACAGAAACATATAAACACAGGATACAGATTATAAGTGAGTGAATTTATCCCTATTGAGCGAGCCGGTGATGAGGGAAAACTCCCTAAGATGATATGAGGAAGAAACCTTGAGAGGAACCAGACTCAGAAGGGAACCTGTTCTCATCTGGGTAACAACGGATACTGTGAAAGTAAAAGAACATTCATTATGTTTTTTACACGAAGTCTGGTTATTGAACTAGTCCACTGTTCAAAGGAGACCTGAGTGTAAAATTGTACATGATAATTGCAGTCCTAAGGCCATAGGAGGAATCATAGTCCAGCAACCACAGCGAGAATGTCCATGTGGAATTGAAGTCCAAAGCCATTTCCATGGTACTTCAAGCGGTACAATCCTCAGCAATCTCCAGGCTGAAGCCTCTAGTTGAGCGCTCCATCCAGAGGTAGGACATCAGGACGGATCAGGCTGGTCCGGAGAGCAGAAAGGAACATGCCCTGTAAGCAGAGCCACATCTAGTACCAAATAATGTAATTGTGTTTATTTGGGGCCAGTTTATAAAGATCCGGATGAGATCACTCTTCCTGTTCATGTTTTTTTTCAGTCTCTTGTCTCTCTTCAAGTTCATGTAGGTTGGTCTGTCTAGTAATCTTACTCATGCATAAATTTTCAGTGTCTGCCTTCATTAAAACAGACCAAGAGATATGTCCTAAGAGATATATTTGGAGAAGATCCAGTACTGAGCTTAGCATATTTTTTTTTTACTCTCACAATCGATGGCAAAGTGCCTCAAAGCTGTTCCATATCAGATTGAGCATACAGTAAAATCATCACTCCAGACAAATATGCTGTATGTCCTGCTCTCAGAGATGAGAAACTAGGCATGAGAGCAGACATATTCAAACATACTGTAAATGGATGGCTGGGATGAAAGGACTAGCTGGGCTAAGCCCTCCCTCTCTTTGAAGGAAAAACACATACAATAAGGCTGTAATTTTTTTTTTTGACATCCACATCATTTGATTTACTGTTAATAAATGGCCTAAACTGTTTGTTTTTAGGGTTCGACTTCAATCGCAATTAGTTCTGCCTATCCGTCTTTCAGTGAGCACGTTCTTAACTGTACTCGTAATAGTTTTGTGCCTGTGATGAGACCTTGAAGCTCAATTCCAATGCTTTCATAATAGTAACACATTGTAACCAGCTGTCATTATAATAGGAATGTATGAATCGAATCAGTCTACACTCACTGTCTACTTTAGTCATTCATTCATTCTTGTTCTTGGATGACAGGAGTGGAACCTGATGTGGTCTTGTGATGTTGAAGCCTCAAAAGTTGCTCAAGGTTCGATGTTTTGTACATGCTCAAATGATTTCCTGCTCACCGAGGTCGCGAAGAGTTTTATTTTAGTTGCTGTAGTTCCTACAGTACTATAGTTCCTGTCAGGTCCGACCAGTCTGGTCATTCTGCTCAGATCTCTCTCATCAAGGTGTTTCAGCCTGCAGACGCTCTGAAACAGGATTGTTTTTCGCACCATTCTGTGTAAACTCTAGAGTGTGTGTGAAAATCCCAGGAGATCAGTCGTTTCTGAAATACTCAAACCAGTCCATCTGGAACCAACAACCATGCCACGGTTAAAGTCAGAGAGATCACACTTTTTCTTCATTCTGATGTTTGATGCAAACATTAATTGAAGCTCTTGATTTGAACAGGTGCACAGGTGTTTCTTTTAAAATGGCTGGTGAGTGGATTTATGGCATGATGTATTGTTGGGCTTGGATCAGACAACCTGTGATATACAGTAACATTTTTCTTATAAACCAGATATTTGTCTGAAGAGTATTGCAAAGTCATGCAGCTGTAAGCAACACCAAATTAATTTGACACAAAATGTTATGATTTTTTTATTTATTATTTTTTTAAATAATTGAGGCATCTACTGACTTTGTTGCAGCAAACGTTTTTTTTCCCCCTGCACAATGTGATCTGGCTGCATTATAACGCTGTGTGTGAACAAAAGTGTTAACTGGTCTAATTTTACTCAATCGGCTACCCGGATTAAGCCTTTATACACTTTACATGGAAAGAAAAAATGTCCTTCAATTACTGTAGACCTAATATCCTTGTTGAGAATTTGATTAGAAGCTAAATGGAATTTTTTGATGTGTGATTATCCCATGAAACAAAACTGTAAAAAACCAAATTATCAGTGGGTTTGAATGCCTTTGTAACATGTCATAAAGAGATCACTTCAACTTGAAATGAAATGTGCTTATGCAGCATTTTGATGGGTTCTTTGGCACTGTAGTGATGTGATAACAGCGTTCTCTCTCTCTTTAATCCTCTCTTAATACCAAAGTTTGCATTTAAGTGTCATCTGGCTCTCGTTTTTTCGGACTGATAACCCACCAAAAAAAAAACCAACCTAGATTTAATATTAGCTCGCAATAGTCACACTGTTTTTCTCTTTGATGTTAAGATGACACTGAATACTTAATTTTTTGACGGCACTAAATATGAATACAGTCCCAATTTTAGATTCAATCCAGCAGCTCTGTTATATGAGGTGCACATTTTGATTTTAAGTAAATACATTATATAGCCATAGGTTTGTGGACGCCTGACCATCACGTTCATATGAGCTTGTTGAACATCCCATTCCAGATGTTGTCCTCCTGAGAAGGCTTTCCAATAGATTTTGAAGCGTGTCTGTGGGGAGTTATGTTCAATCATCTACGAGAGCTTTAGTGAGGTCGAGCACTGATGTTAGGTGAGGAGGCTCCAGTTCAAGTTCATCCCAAAGGTGTTCAGTGGGGTTGAAGTGACTACTCTGTGCAGGATCTTTGAGTTCTTCCAGTCCAACCTTCTCAGGCCACGTCTTTATGGAGCTCGCTTTGTGCACAGAGGCATCGTCATGCTGGAACAGGTTTGGGCCTCTTAGTTCCAGTGAAGAGAAATTGAAATGCTACAACATACAAAGGCATTCTATACAATCATGTGCTTCTAAATTTGTGGCAACAGTCTGAAGAAGAACCACACATATTCTAGTAAGGTTGTGATGGCCAGGTATCAAGACACTTAGCCATAAATTGTATCTTCCAAGAGCATTCAGTGAGAGATGGTGTGTTCTGAGATGAACATTTATTGAGACCGTTGTTGGCTTTTTTTTAATTAAGACTTGTTTAAAGACGATCTGTTGTACCAGTGAAGTCTCAGGATTGCCTGAGATGAAGAGCCGCTGTTGGTCCACCTTAGAGCAAGACACCTAACCACTCATTCTTGGATTGTATCGTGTCTCAGCCTCGGTCGATTTGTTTGCCAAATGATTAAATGGAATGAAGGGAGCAAACGGTTTGCTGAGGCCAGTGAATTCTCTTTCGAATTTAATTACGTAAATGCAAAGATCAGCCCTTTTATTTTATGAATCTTTTTTTTCTTCTTTTAAATGAACCAAACACACTGAAAGGAAATAAAATGTTCTCTTCTGTAATTAGTTGCAGCAAAGCATAGTTGACACGCGTCAAACTTTTCTGATGGATCGCTGGCTGAGGTGCTCTTACAGCACTGTGGCAGAACCCAGCACTCTCACAGCACTACAGTGAAAGCCTTTCCCTGGAAGCTGCTAAAAGATGGATACCTGCACACGCTCAGTGATGAATGCACATTTATTTGCTGTGGGGCTGCAAAGCAGAGATTAGAATACTTTCTACAATCTACCACATCATGCACATGTTCTGAATGGAGCCGGATGCAGACTGAGCAGACATTTTTACTGAAACGAAAAGTTAGGCACAGACATGATACCACAGAGACCGCATAGCTTTCTGCAACTGTTTTTCACCTTCGTTCTATTTTCAATGTGTGTCCCATCGACCCAATCTAGTTTTATTTGTTCATCTTATTTTTTTTCTCAGCAGCTATCAATATAAACATTTTTATGTAAATACCAGCTTGGGGATGTAAAAAAAATGGACAAAAAAATAAATAAAATCACATTTTTGTTTCATATTTGACGAATTATGTTCAGCAGTCTTTTGCAGTTTTACCTCACCTTGTTATTCTCAGGTCAAAATGACCTGAGCATAATCTTTGTAATATAAACATGATTAAAAAAAAAGAACGACAACAACAAAAAAAACGATGTTTCTCATTCATTAGAGAAATTGAGCCAAGTGCATAGATAGCAAGTTCATTAAACGTTCATTAAATATTCATGGAATAGTTGGCAGTAATGAGAATGAAATGCAACATGCAAAAAAGGCTCAGCCAAATCCACAGTCTGGGACAAGTCCTCGTTAGTTCTTACTGCATTGAGAATATATATATAAATATGGTAAATGATCTATACTTAGCGCTTTTTTTTTTCTTTCAACCTTAATGGTTCTACAAAGCGCTTAACACTGGTTCTCATTCACCCATTCACACACACACACTCACACAAGGTAGCAGAGCTGCCACCAAGGCGCTAGCTTGCCATCGGGAGTAACTTGGGGTTCAGTGTCTTGCCCAAGGACGTTTCGGCATTTGGAGTCATGTGGGCCAGGAATCGAACCGCCAACCCTACGATTAGTGGACAACCCGCTCTACCACCTGAGCCACATTTAGTGAATGGATATATTCACTGGGGGGCATGGTGGCTTTGTGGTTAGCACGTTTGCCTCAAGTCTCAGGGGTTGGGGGTCCGAATCCCACCTTTGCCTTCTTCCCGTACCTCAGGGCCTCCTCCGGCCATCCCAGGCTCCTCCCCTAGTCCAAAGACTTGCACTGTAGGCGGACTGGCATTTCCAAACTGTCTATAGTGTGTGAATGGGTGTGCGATTGTGCCCTGTGAAGAGTTTGCACCCCGTCCAGGTGTCCCCCACCTTGTACCCCGAGTTCACTGGGGTAGGCTTCTGGGGGCGTGTTATATAAACGTTCAATCTTAAGTCTTAAGTTAAGGTCTGAGAAGTTAAATTAGGATTTTTCACAAATTCATATTTCAGAAGCAAATCTTAAGTTGATTTAGGATTCTTATCTTACAAAATCTTATCTCGAGTTAAGAAATCTTAAACTGCTCCATCAAGTTCGACTCTCAGGTCTGTTACCAAGCAACCAAAACTACAACCAAGAACTGTGAAGTAAACTTTCGATTAAAACGGAGTATGTTGAATATTAAATCACTTGCACTATGACTAGTACTGCTCCGTGACGGTCGCAGTTCTTGTTCTAACTGCACTATCATATTTCATGGAAGTCTGTAATTATGTATCAGTGTATTGTTGTCAAAGCACAGAACATCATCTGGGTACTCCAAAAGTTTTTCCACCATCAAACATCACAGTTCTTCATCTTGTATCATTAATAAATGTAACACTATTCTCGGACATGGTTACTGTAATGTGACTGTTATCGCTGGCTTTCAAATAGGTTTTAAGTTAGGACACCAGTGGGGTTGTTCTAAACTTAATATATATATTTTTTTGTCATGTTAGGGTGCTTCTGTAATAACCTGTAGTTAAGGTAAGATAATGCACTTAGGAGATGTTATTCTGTAATAGCATTTGCCCTAAATGAGGTCCTAGCTGAAATTGCCATGGTACAGATGAGAATGGATTCCAAAGTTAGGATCTTTCTATAATACTCCCCCTGGCTTGCCTGCAACCCTGTGTAGGATAAGTGGTATGGAAAATGGATGGATGGATGGATAGTCAGTCTTCTTCAGTCATGTCATGAGAGATGGACGTTAGGGAGGTAACCGAATAAGAATACATTATTCGGATTGAGCAGATATTGCGTCCTAAATGAATACAAATACAGACTCAAACAGTAGGGGTATTCAGTTGACAAGTTCTTTTTTATTGTTAATTTTTTTTAAAGGAAGAATTTTTTGACTAGGTATGTGCATTGGGACAGTGATCTTACAGTACAAAACAAATAAAGTCACTTGAGTACGCGGCATTTACTTTATTGTAGATCTTTACAGAATAGCTAGGCAAAAGCTAGTGAGCAGGGTTGCCAGGTTTCAGAAATATTCCCACCCAACTACAACTTGATAAATGTTGGAACTATCCCAACATTTCTGGGTGTTTGAAAAAAACATTTTTTGTCTTTCTGGGGGAAATTAACAATGGTGCATATTTTTGGCTTGCAGTACACAACCATTATTTGTAAAACCTGGCAACTGTTCTCATGGGACAAAGAATAACATTAACATAATACTAATATGAGAGAGACTATTTTTTTTTTTTCATCAGTGGTTTGCTCGAGTAGCCTGATCTAAACACTGTCTTACTGATTGCTCAATAATATATAAATGTATTGCTTTCATTTATTGAGTTGCTGCTCCATAAGCTCACTCTACTCATCTAATTCATTTAAATTTGCTAGTGTTTGAATGATCGTTCTCCATGATTAGTAAAACCTGAAAATCATACGGTCATTATAATGAAAAGTCACTTAAAAGACCCCATTTTGACTCGTAGAACGACTCTGAGTGCTTCCCAGCTTTATAGTTTAGCAGCTTTATAGTTTAGTTTAACTTTTCGGATCTTTCTGGAACATAACATACTCAAAAACTGAAGTGAATCTGATTAAATAAAATTACATGGATATTGGTGTCAAATAAATAACAGTAAACAGTTATAATATGAATAAATTACTGTAAATAAAGATTTTTGTTTGTTTTGGAAAAGGAATCATTAGTTTGAAATGTTTATGCTTGTTATATATAATGTATGTATGTATGTATATACTTGTTAACTGGTGGAATAGTATTACTATTATTATATTAGTATACTATAATTATACTAGTTATTATTTTTGCTATTATTATTCCTAGACAAGTGACAAGTATTAGACAAGTATATGACAATCTATCTCTTAACCCCTGCAGAAGCAGTTCTTTTCTAAACAGTGCTGTTTATACAGCTATTGTGCTGTAATTATTCAACACCCTACGCAGTGAACCCTTTAGTCTGTTCATTTAATTAACCTGTGGAGGCACATGTGCCCTGGGGTCAGCAGACAGGATCGGCATGTGCAGAACCAGGAAATGAGATGTTCCAGCAGGGGCACAAAACAAGGACGCTGACAGATGGTACAAAGGCTTATTTCTAGACAACTCACTTTATTGCTTTGGTAACATATCAGACAACAGAACCTGGATCCAGAAAATATGGGATGAAATGGTTGTTGATACAAAACAGCAAGGCAGACACAATGATGATGCGACTGAATATCTGAAATGGGTTGGTTGGGGGGTTGGTGGGGATCTTTTGCACTGAAGGATACTGGAGCTCATTGCATTCTTGTTGATCCCTGCATATCAAGCCGGCACGCTGTGTAGTCCAGCACATCCACTTATCATTTCCAGTTCTAGCTGAATAACCCAGTGGCTTGCTTAAGAAATCCAGGCAGAGGTCTTTTTGGAAGCACATAGTCATTAATCTTTTTAAAAGATGGTCAAAGAGTGTATATAGGGGGTAGAGAACGTTGCTGGGGAATGATTTCAAGGGCCTCTAGTATACAGGGCTTAAAAACTGTTTGACCATGCATTAATCTGTCACGGTTTTCAAAATTTCGACTTGATTTCTGTGAAGCAGGCCTAACAGCATGTCTAGAGGCTTTCTTGACTTTTCCAAATATGACATGTTCATGATTAGCAGCAACGCTTGCTCAGAGTAGAAGATTTAGAGCAGGGGTGTCCAGTTTTATCCACAAAGATTTGATGCGTCTGCAGATTTTTGTTCCAAACAATCAGGATTCCTACCTGATTTCACTTGTTAATCAGTTCATATTGGCCTGGATGGATGTAAACCTGCAGTCATTCTGATGCTTTGCAGAGAAGGTAAGTCACCCATGACCTAGAGGAAGACATCTGGAATAGGATCAAACTGTTCCTGCAAGATGGGTGACCGCTGGGAGCAGTGTACAGAAGAAGATCTGCTACTTGAACTCTTGTATGCGACAATCTTTGGGCTGAAATTTGATGAAGCGATTTGAATACAAATAATTGAATAAATAATTCTGCCCAGATATTTATTGCATGGCGTTTATGGCTGCCCTCCGAGATGGACGTTGCACATATTCTGCCCATAGTTATAATATAGAGAACCTCATGGGTTAATAAAAGCAGCTGAGCCCATCCTGAAGTGCTTTATAGTTTCATTCACAGTCTCAGTTCAACAATGATAAGCTCACACTGAGAATACTCTACATCAAATTGAAGCATGCCCAAATATCACTTTATAGGCATAACACAAAATAGAGATTACTCAATTGGCCAAAAAAGACACATTGGACTAAATTGTTCTGATCATGAGTGTGCTTTGACTGTTTGTATGGCTGTGTAGAATGTAAAGACATTAGCCTTGGGTTCAAGAAAAAGAAAACTTCTCACAAATACACAGTGTGTATAGCTCGGATGAAAATGGTGTATTTGCTGAACGAAACCATTGAGATGAAAAGTATCCCTTTTGATTGTGATTGTGCCCTGCATTGGATTGGTACCCTGACTTTACCCCCATGCTCCCTGGGATAGGCTTGTAATCCAAATGGATGGATTACAATAGTTTCGGAAACACTGATTTTCTTCATACTTGTGTATGTACTTGTGACGGGGGGGGGGGGGCTTTTAAATTTTTTATTTTTATTTTTTCTTCTCAATGAAATATTTGGGGAAGGGAGGGGGGAAAAGGTAAATGAATCACATGTAAATGAATCACTTGAAAATGAATCACATGCATGAATATGAATCACATGAAGATGAATCATATGTAAATGAATCACATGAAAATGAATAAATAAATCAATGAAAAAAAATACTTGTGCATGTATGTTGATGAATGCCAATTAACCGTAAATTACCACTGATTTGCATTTGGTAACGCCCAAGAAACTCCATAAAAGGCAAAGCGTGAACAGCTGAAGTGACAAGTGAATGGCAAAAATACACCTCAGAGCTAGAAGTGGAAGTTATTTTGACTCACATCTATGCAAATGCAAATATACATATTACCTATGAACGTAAGAAGCCCTTAAAAACACCCAAAATCTGCTACAGAAAAGGTGAATTAAGAGAACTGATAAGAAAATGGTTTGACAAAAATAAAACAAATCTGTTTCTTGTTCATCAAGCACATAACACAGCCAATTGTGTCGGTGCCATTGGACATTCTCTGATGCCAGGAAGTGTCATTGGAAGCCTGATGGACTAGAAATTATACAATGCAGTTTGAGACAAACCAGATCGGTCACTTATCGCTCACTTAGTCCTGGCTCTAATAAAGTGCAGTACAGCATGAAAAGAAGTTTTTCGATTTATAGTTCTGTGTTGGTGCATATTTACATCTTTGTGTCACGATGCAGAGAAGGGGGTTAACGTGACATGCAGAGACGCGGTGACGTGAAGGCATACAGCGCTCCCACAAGCTAACTGCCCATTGTGGGTATGTTCGCTGCAATGCGTTGTGTGAGCACTGACTGGTTTTTGGAGAGGTGTGTCGGTGCCGTACACAGAATTCCGTGAGTTTAATCAAATTCAGATTAATATGATAAAACTCTTGCACTGTACAGATAACTATTAGAAGTTAGTAAGTTTTGGGAAGGGAAGTTAAGTCCCTTGTGTTTCATGTTTGCTTCACACACAGCGATGTGATCATATTATTGTGTAATGGATTCATTTACAAAAAATGACAATCACAATGATATGTTAATAAAAAAT